GTCACCTGGGCTGCAGTTTTGGGTGTGCCCAAAGCCTCCAGCCAGGTGCTGGAGCTGTGATGTTCCCACCTGCCCAAACACCTGGGGTGTCTCTGCTGCGGGAGCACCACCACACCCCCGTGGGTGCCAGCTCAGTGTCACCCAGACAGGGTGACACTTGGGTGACAGCAGCTGTCTCAGGTGTCCTGGCATTCCTGGCAGAGCTTCCCACCCGGGGATCTCTCTGTGCCTCGGTGGGATGAACACAAATCCTTTTCTTCCAGTGTTTTATTTCCTCCAATATTGTGATTTTTCTCTCCTTGCTGCTCAGGGGAAGATCCCTTGGCTGGGGACCAGAACGACCACGACATGGATTCCATAGCAGGAGTCCTCAAGCTCTACTTCCGAGGCTTGGAGCACCCCCTCTTCCCCAAGGACATCTTCCATGACCTGATTGCCTGTGTCAGTAAGTACATGAAGAGCTGCAAAGAAATTGGATTCGTTTTCCTCATCCCCCCACTTGTCTTCCCTCCCCTTCCCCTTTTTTTCCTGACTCCAGGCTGAGTTTTTGGGGATTCTTGGGCTGATCTCTGTTACCCAGTCTGAGCAGTCACCTTGTCACAGCCACCCTTGCTCTGACATGAATGAACAAAGAGACAGAAATTCACAGATTTTAAGGGCTGTGTGATGAGGTTTTGTGAGTCTGGGTTTGGTGACAGGATTCTTTTAAAAGAGAATAAAGCAAAAAAACCCTCACTTGTGTAAAATAATCTTGAAGAGCTGTCATCAGAGGATGTCAGAAATGCCCTCTCCGAGGCAGGGATCACCAGCAGGGTTCCCTGGATATCTGCTTTCCCTGGATATCTGCTGCCATGCTCCTGTGTGCTGGCCTCAGCTGACAAGGTAGTTTTTATTCATACTCCTTTTAGCTTCATACCCACAAGGGACCATCCACTGCCTCCTGCTCCAGCATATCAATCATCAGGGCACTCACTGTTAACATCTTTCATGGTTACTAAAGGTGTTTCTGCCAGCAGAGGGTTGTTTGTGGTTTCTGTGTTGTTTTTAAGTGGCCTGGCTCTTGCTACATCCCCCAGAATTGAAGAAAGATTCCATTGTCCAAGCAGAGAAATGGCCTTTGCAGCCTCTGAAGAGAGGCAGATCACTGAGGAGACAGCATCAGAAATGCCCTGTGCTTTTCTGCTCCTGATAAATGCATTTCCAGACTTGGATTTGTGCTCTCCCCCGAAGGAGCTCTCCCTTCTCAGCTGATTTTTGCTGCCCACTTCTTTCTCAGCGGGCTGCAGCACACAGAGCCCTTTGCCTCACCCTGTAACTGTGTTAATTGGAGTGTTCAGCTTCTCCTTTTCAAACACCCACCTTTCCCTGCTGCCCTGAAGGAGCCCTTGTGCCAGAGCCCCTGGAGGGTGTGGGAACTCAAAACATCCCTCAGACATTTTTGGATGTTCCAGGCCCAGGTCAGAAGCATTTGAGACCCTGGCACAGCTGCAAACAGCTGTGATTTTGGGTTTGGGCCATGGAATGAGTTACCAACCTTGCAGGAAGAACAAGAAGTGACAAAAGTTTAGAGTAGAAGTAGTCACAAAGTAGAGGGAAGAATTTTTGAGTGCTGTACAGGGGGGTTTTGGTTTTGTACATGGGGGTCAGAGGGTTTAAGATGGATTTGGGATCTGGGCCTGCCCTGTCCTCCCTCTTTCTCCTTCCTCACCTCCATGTTCTTGGTGATGTTGGCACTCACAGATTGGTTTAGAGTAGAAAAGCACCATTTAATATAGGTAACAGGAATTGGGGAAAACTGTAACCATGTAACACGTAATGTACATATAAAAGATAGGAAATCACCATTTAATATAGGTAATAGGCATTGGGGAAAACTGTAACCATGTAACACGTAATGTACCATATAAAAGATAGGAAATCACCATTTAATATAGGTAATAGGCATTGGG